TATGGGCAACTTTTTTATATGGTGCTAGAAGCTAAGGTTACTGGCAGTATATACAGGAATGACTGCAGTGGCTTCAGTGATTTTTCTTTTCAGTTAAGATTCAGCAATGTGCCTAGGAGATAAACCTACCAACTGTTCAGGTGCAACAAGACAAACCAATCTAATTTTAAATACGTATGTGTGCTTTTGTGTGTTTTTATATGCATATTTGTATATGTGTATATGATATAAACAAATTAATAAACACGATTTCTTCTACATAATAAGGAACCATGAAAATGCATGTATTTGTATGTGGTCCTTGGCTATAATAAGGTAACCATTTCTTCCCTCTTCTGTTGCAAATTTGCTTGCAGGGAAGACAGCTATGTTTATAAATAGATTGTTTATATATATAAATGCGTTTAATATGTAAAGCCATCTGCAGCTTATCGACTTCAGTTATTCGTCTGCATTTCTTTTAAAAATATATATATTACCCCTCCTTGTGATGACTCTCTCAGGAAAACAAATTTTAAATCATCAGCAGCGCTTTCTTGTGGTATTTTCATATTCCAGTGCTGTGATGGCACTGTATCTCTTTTACCTGTTTGGGCCTTGTCTTTTATCAATAAAATGATTCTAGATAGACTAAGAGTGTTACCCCATCTCCTGTTTGGCTGCTTCTGTTTTCGTTTGCCATATAAAATTAAACAATAGAACGAGAAATCCCTGGAGTAGGTTTGCCTTTGTGGGTGGAAAATGGTTCCCTAGAGATTATTTCAGTAATTATTTTTAAATGAGGGGAGAGTTATTAAATAGACAAACACTGATAATAATAATAATATTATTATTATTATTAATCTTACATATGGGATGAGCCATAGAAGGCATAGAGAAGGGAAGCCGCATTTGGAATATGTGCGCAATGGTAGTTTCTCTGGGCACTGACTCATCCATTGATAATAAGTTAATTTAAATATGCACATGATAGAAAATAAAGGTTCTGAGAGGGGAGTTGGGACTTATTTATGCTGCAAGTGGCGATAATAAACACCTAAAAAGTATCATTAGAGAAGAGTGCATTCTCTTTTGCTCCATTGAGTTTTTGCCCTCATACAAATCTTATGTTGACTTTGTTTAGAAAGTGATGGTCAAAATACCATTACGAACATTTCTAGTCATATTGCAGTGATTTGCATTAAAACATACTCTGATTGCAGCTAGGAAGATGACATTTTTCTATCTGCTGGGAAACTCAAGCGACTGCAAGGTCTCAAGACTCCATAAAGGGTTGAGACCCAAGCGGTGTCTTTTCTTCTCATGCGTCATTCCTACAAAGAAATGTTACAGGCAAGATGTCTTGCTGTTTAGACTTTGCATGTGTTTACTGAAGGTGTGTGACATCGTCGTTTGGATCCACTTACGGGGGATACAGCCCTGGGTGTACATTGTCACTGCCTTTTGGACATTATCTTTCCTCCGATCTGCTGCCTTGGGTACTCTTACCTGAGTACTTTTAGGCCATTTTCACTGATATTGGTCAGTGAGCCCTCACTCAAGCTAGGTAGCCAGTAGGTCATTAGGTACCTGGTAGGTCACTGGGTAGCTAGTAAATGGAGAATGTCAGGTTTGGCAGGAAGATAATGATGAGCAGTTTGGGGACAGCAAGAAAAAGTTATCTTCTTTCACTGACTCAGCAGGATCTGGTAGCACTCAGTTTATTCCTCCTCAATTATCATTCTCTACAGTTCACACAAAAATAGACACCTGGATACTTTTGTACTGCATAGCCAGTACAACTAAGGCAGGAAAAAATGTGCTGATTATTAAACTGGACAGGCATTTTGAATATATAAACAGAGCTGTCAAGTAAATATGTCATCATACTTTTCAGAGCAGATTGATGCACTCTAAAATGACTGTGGGGAAATTAGGAAAACTATAAAGACCTGGTCACCTAATTTCAGTCCTGCAGAAATAGGACAGTCACTTTAACTCTGAGCTGAGAAGCAAAATGTTTCTACGGATAAGAACTGCAATATCGGCCACATACCTTCAGAAGCTGAGGAAGATGTTCTAACAGTGTTTTGTAAGCAGTGGCAAAGAGTCTACAGGCTGCTCCACTGGCTGTGTCGCATAGGAAGGCAGCTTCTAGGATTTATCCTACCTCCTAAATCCTCCTCCGGTCACCACTGTCCCACTTGAGTTGTGTCGCACAGCTTGGCATGAAAGCTGCCCACAAACTGCTCATCAGCCACAGGAGGTCCTGAGAACCAGAGGCTGGCCAGCCTTGGGCCATTTGAGAGCACATTTGAGAGTTCGGAGCTGGCAATTTAACTGGATTTTTTGAGAGTCTAGGGTGATAGAGCATTCTGCTAATATCTTCAGGACATTTATTGTTTCATATTTAATTCTATTTGAAAACTTCCCCACATACAGACCTCTGAGATTCTTGTTACCTTGGGAAAAGGTAAATAAAATAAATTGTACCATGTTACCCTATAGAAGTAAATGAAATTAAGGGTAACAAAGTTGCTGAGCAAATGGTAGAGCTTTTTTCCACAAGAGCTTCCTGTGATTAATGAAAATACTGTGACACCGACCTATATGCTGGCTTGCAGCCATGCACCAGAAGAGTAAATGGCCTGCTGTGTACAAACCACAAACAGACTTGGTGAAGAAGGAATACAATCAATAGTCGCTTAACTCTTAAAAGTTTCGAGAGAATCCCCAGTGATGCTTGCTGCTGAAGTGCTTCTTTGGTCTTAACTTCCATGGGGACGTTTGAAGAATGCTGCTTTGATTCAGAGGGTTAATAAATGTCAGTACGTAAATACTCTTGCAGTCTTTCTGGTGATGCAGATGTGAATTTTTCAGCAGCTATAAACGGAACACGTATTTGTTTCGTCTAAAGTGCGTGGGAAACATAGAAGGGCTTGATCATAATGTTAGAAACGCAAGGCTAACAGTTTAAAACATCCTGAATTTTCAAAGCTCAACTTTAAATGTCATGGAATAAGTTCTGGAACTAAGAAACGGAGCACATATAAGCTGCAGCAGACTACTGAAGACAGAAATGGTACTGCAGTCACTGAAATGTGTGCATGCCTGTGGTTTATTAAGAAAGCAACTCAACACATGCATCTATGATTTTACAGTGCTCAAGTCAAGAGGTACAGTAGATAGTATCACTTCTTGGCACAGGGTCAGAAAACAACAGCTTGTGTCTTTCTCCTACAAAGATATCTGCCAGGCTGAGTATGTTTGACTAAGTCACGTACTCAGCCCTCTCTATCCCTCCAGCTAGGGCAGAAAAAATCTGCAATTCAGGTTTCAGCATTTATTTTTTTGAGCTCTGTGAGCCTCCTATTAAATTTGCTCTACTGTATGGGAAAGGATAAAAGATTCTTTAGGGTCCAAAACACAGTATACAAAAATTAAGTATTACAGCATGGTTTGTGGTATATAGCTTGCCATTTAACCCAGAAGGAGTGAGTTCTGCTTGGTAAGTAACATTTGTTGATAGCTTACTATTTCTAGCAGTAAAACAACACAAAGTTGTGTGTGACCTTTTTCTTAAATTTTCTACGTGCAACTTGCTTCGTAAGTAATTCCAAAAATGATCAGAGTTGTTCATATACTGTTACTGACTTAGTTCTGAGTGCTAAGAGAGTGGAACGTTTGCTGGCAAGGAGAACTAGTGTTCCTCTAAGAATGGTTTATAAATCCTCCATTGTAATGAATATTTCAAGATTAAAATCAATGATGTGTTGCAAGTTTCAGACAAGGCTGTTTATCAAGATGAAAAAGTTGATTTCCTTAAAAGCAATATTATATACATTTTATGTGAATGTCACCATAGATGAGAAATTTTAATTTAAAGAGCTACTAGGATTTTTTCCCCTCAAAAATGGTAAATGAAAAATGCTGGGAAAAATCCCTTTCCCTAATTTCTCACTACTTTGAGAGGTTGTACTAAGGAACTTGCAGTCAGGCTTAGTTTGTGCAGTATTAAATTCTGCTAAATATAGTATGCTTAGTAAATTAAAAGCCTGCCTTTTCTGTTCTACTTCCATAATTAAATATATGAACTTTCCATTAGTGTAGAGGACACAGAGCTACTGTGTACTAGGCCTTGGGAGGGAGTAGGGGAGAGAAAGGGCATAATAGGCCATTTATTTAGATATTAAAGGGTAGACTCCAAAATTCATATTTGTAAAATAATTTTTTTCTCTCCTGCTTACATTAGCCTACGGGCATTAAACTTTTTCCTTCCACATCTTAATTGTTACGTAAAGAGCCTGTGTGTGACTGCTATCCACTACTACACATCTGACTATGATTTACTGATGTTATGACAGAGACTAAAAGGTACTAAAGGACAATGGGAAACAAAACAACGTAACTGTTGCTTATCGGTTTCCGTTTCCTCATCTTACTAAAAAGCACAGAGATAGAAAGCGTGCATACCATCTCCTGAACAAGAAGTGAGTTCTAGTATGTGTAAAATATTACTGCTGAACTAACTGTGTAAGTAACCCTTCTGACCATTTGTGATGCAAATTAAATTGTGGATACCGAAGATACTGGAAAACAATACACTACCATGCAGTTTGTATATTGGTTCTCCACCCAAAAAGTGTAATCAGAAATATCTGCTAATTATATCCATCTTTACATTCTTCTAAACATACAGGCTGTTTGCTTTTCCTCTGTAGTAACTTCCAATGTTAATTTTTACTGTCAGCTTTTGAACAGAATCCCCCAATATCATCATTTCAAGATTTTATATATGCAGCTATTTTATGTATGTATGGTTATTTTTCTTACGGTCTAGGCTGATAAAGATGAGCTGGATTACTTAGAAAATGTGTTTATAGAAAGAAAAATGCCTTCTTCAGGAAGCTTAATAATGGGCTATTGAGTTCTTGGTTTGTTTTTAATCTCCCCTGTGAAGCTGAAATTATAACCTGTTTACTTTCCAGTTTGGTTTTTCTGACATTTTAATTTGATTTCAGGTTACTATTGGCCAACTGTATTCCACGCAGAAATTGGTTATTGAGAGTCCGGGAAACACATAGCTATGAGAAGACACTGATCCTGAAGCAACACTGGACCATCTTCAGCATCCTACAGTGCCACATATAGATGCATAAACTCACTGCACATGTCAGAGCTTTTCTGTTCAGCAGAAGAAACATCTGAGAGACTCATTTTTTGGCAACCAAAGTACTCTATTTTCTAATAGTTCACACATTCTAAAAATACATTGCTGTGATTTACAGTAGCATGTAGGGTAATCCTAAAATCTGTTTGCTTGTATGTCCCATGTGATGAAATAGCTCCTGCCCTAATTTGACAATAAAACTTCATTAAGTAACTGCGTGTAACCAGATGCATTCTTCTGCAGCTGACCGCCTCTCTCACTGAGCACAAGAGGTATTAGGTTTAAAACCCCTCACTCAGTTACTAAAAAAAGTAACTTCTTACTGATCCTGTTTGATTTAAACACACCCAGCCCCAGGGCATTTGAATTAAATGACTTGATGCGTAACACACTTGAGTGCAGGTATGTTTTCAATACTAAAACCATGTGAGATTATTATTTCTCATCTCCAGAACCGTGATACTTAAAATATCAGAAGCTACATTGTGTGGTTTCTTTTAAAGAGCATTCCTTGACATTTCAGGAGGTAACATAAAAAATTCACTAGTTCTTTCTTTTAGTTTGCAAGAGGTAATAACCAGTTTCACCCTATTTTTAACAACGAATAAGTCATTAGCAGAATATAAAACTTGTATCTCTGAAGCGTGAGAGATTTAAAATATTTTTGCCACTGAGTCCTTTCCAAAACTTGTTGAAGTGCAGCTATTAGCAGACCATAACAAATCATTTTATGCGAGACTTCCCTTTTTCACAAAGCTCCTGAATTTTGCAGGAGATAAATATTTCTAACTGTGAAAATAACTCAAGTGCTGTGAACTTGAATTAACTGGAAACATGCTTTACCCAGCAGAAGTGGAACACTCAATATAGCTCTTTAGTTGCTATAGTTGTAAATCTGTAGAATAAACAACACTTTTAAGACAATGGTTTTTTTAAAAAAGGCAAAATTTTAATCAGGTTTTACTCAAGTCAGTGCGGTATTTGTGTTTTAAGTTACAAATTGGCAGGAAAAAAAATCAATGCAACCCTTCTGTAAGTGTACAGCAAGAGGGTTTGGGGTTTTTTTTTGTTTTGTTTTGTTTTGTTTTTTTTTAAAGAAAAGAGACAAACCCCAAAGCTAGTGCCGTGACATAGTGGTCTTTAAAAACGTCCCTTTCTTCTTGTTTCCCAAAATTGGTCTTCATTTAGTCCCTCTGTTTTTTGTTTGTGCTCTGTGATAACATTATTAAAGCAGAGGATAGAAGAAGTGTCTAACTTATGACTGGAAATTCATTCTTCTCGTATTTAAGTGATTTATATAATTTTGTACAGTCACCTTAAAATGTTAATGCATTCCATTAATGATATGAAGGGTGTACAGAATAAGGTACTGTGACTACCTGAGACTACAAAACAGACTCCATTCTCACTTTCAAATAAAAAGCAAATACAGTAATAATTCTCCTAGTATTAGGTATATAAATATTGCAATGTAAGTTATTTTAGTGCCTATCTTAATAAAATGGAATTTAATTATTTTAATAGGTAAAATACTTGAGGTTCTGGTTTAAAAAGCCCCACATTCACAACTGGATAATTAAGTGCACTTAAGTTTATGGTGAAAGCATGGAGGAAGAAAGGTATATTATTTGGTAGAAAGTAATTATTATTTTCAGTGGAATCAAAGAAATGTAATAACATCTTAACATTTTAGAGTACACAGTCATGGAAGGCCTGCCAGTTTTACACTCTAAGGAACTTTGTCTCCGTAGAACAGTACATACAAATTCCTTATTTAAACAGCTTAATTACTGGAACAAGCACTGCATACCAATTCAGGAGCTGAGAATGTATGCTAAGAAACAAAATAAACATCCTTATAAATAGCATTAACCCTAATATTTAAAGAGGGACAACTCTATCAGTAACATTTTACTGTTTAACTTTTCACCATATTCACAACAAAAATTAAAGGTTTGTTTTCAAACAGAGTCCCTTTAAATACATAAACATTTCTTCCAAAATACCAGTCCCTTTCCTTTAAAGTTCTCTATAGCTTAGTTTCCACCAAGAACACAACTGTAGATGTTACATGCTGTAACATAGGTGTGTAATAATATGAATGTGAACAGTTTCTTTTTAATCCCCTAAAAAGTATGAGGGATGTTATTTCTCCACTAATGCCTGAAAATACTGCTGTTAAGTTCTGATGATTGATATGCTGCACTCCTAATATCAATGCCATCTGCCCCTACTTTCTGTCTCATGGTTACCACTCATATTCCCTTGTCTGTTTATACCTGCAAAGGAGCATTAGTAGCTTTCAGGATACTCCTGGGAGGATCCACCAAGAAAAATACAAATAGAATTCAGGTTCTGTAATTTCCCCCTCTCCCCAGTCTGTAGTGCAGAGTAGGTTAAGACAGCTCACTTTCTTAGTTGAGGATTAAATTCTCATTCCAAAGTAACCATCAGCTTACCATGCAGTACTTGTATACTTCTTATTAGAAGGAACTTAGGAAAACTTCAGCTGTTAAGGACCAAAAGCCTGTGTAATACTATCTAACCTGTAAACAAAAGCGCGAAGCTAGCAATGGCATTAGAGTGGTTAATACTCAAACCCAACACAATCAGTGCATTTTAGATGTCCATTCCAATAGCGTCTTCGACAAACCAACACATTTACTTTCTTCACCAACACAAATATAAGTGCGCCCTCCATTAGTGTTAGTGTTTCATGTGCAGATCTGTTGTATGTGACTGAAGATACCTAGGAATATTGTTTTTTCCTTGTCTAATGTCCATTATCTTTTTTATTTATTATAACATAGCCAGTTCTGTATAAAAAGCATAGTTATCAAATGTTTTATAAATGAAATCCTTCAGACTACAGAAGGAAAATACTTAGAAACCATTTCCGCCCTAGGAAATCCAGGGCAGAAATATTTGTAGGCTGGGACAACATTAGTATCATGTTCACATTCACTTGTCCTATTCTTATTCTTTGCTAGGCATCTGCTTATCATTACTGATGGAGACAGCATACTAGAGAGATGGCACTTTGGTCTAACCTAGTAGTTCCTATGTTCTTACTGTGCTTCACCAGTTTAGTTTACATTGTAATACACATTAAGTCTCTCTCGGCACTCTGTCAGAAACTTCATGGGATTTTTCTCAAAGCAGTGTAAACAACAAGAATAGGTAAAACACAAAAGAATGATCCCATCATTTATGTCCAATGTGCACTACTATAAAAGGCATATCTCTTTATAATAGAATAGAAATATCATTACTAAGATTGCAATAAGTCTTATGAAAGCATGCTTGCTTTGTAATATTGTATTAAAAATGTTTATCTGTCCCTGATCTCAGCATTTTAGCAAAGTATTTACTTCAGCAGTGTGCCCCCAAGTTTGACTGTTTACATAAACCAAAGTTCATCATGAGTTTTACAGTATAAACTGGGAAAAAGCTTTCTGAAGGAAAAAAAGAACAATTAACTTAAGATGAGTAACTGTTTAAAAGATAGGCACTTCTGTTGTGTTATGACTTCTGGCTAGATTTTACTGCAATCAAAAGCTACATTTCAAAAGGCATAGTTTTATCGAAGAAACAGCTGTTTTGAAGTAAAGTAACCCAGGAGAGTAGCATGTGACTATTTTACATACAATATTGAAATAGGCCAGGAAGGATGTCACTACTCACATTTCTGAAAAAGTATTTCTATATAAAACTTCTCCAAGTTTCCAAGCATTAAAAGCATTACTTTTACCTCCTAGCATCAACAGGAAAGAATAATTTTATGAAAAAAAACACCAGCCCCTTAACTTACTTCCTGTAACGCAATATGAAAGCGTCTCTAGATATCCAGGAAGGACCACGTATACGTAATTAGAGCCATGAAGGAACTATGCACTAAATGTTTTCCTGTACTTTCCATAAGGATCTACAGTGAAATCCTGGCATTATTTAAGTCAGCAGTATAATGTTTGCATCTTCCACTGGTTCTTAACACCAGCAAAATTATTTCATATGCTTAGGAATGTTTTGCTTTATGCCCTTTATTAAAAAAAAAAAAAAGGAAGGAAGGTGTGGAGTCCTTTTACTGAGAGTTTACATTCTTACTTTTTTCAGTATTTTAGAATGTAAAGAATAGTATATGAGCCCTAAATGTGGAAGCAAAAAGAAAGAGAGAGAAACCAATATACTTCCAGCACTGTTTTCCACTGTTATAAGAGGGAAAAAAAATAGTAGCTGTCAAACCTGTTTCACACACACATGCATTTCTGAAGCATTCTAGTTTATGTAGATAATTAAATGCCATCAATATGTTATAAGAGATTTTTTTTTCTAAACTACTTACCTTTTTTATTGTTAAGCCTTTTAAATACTGAAGCTGTACAAGGTGTGGGGTGGGATAGTTAGTTAAGCAGTGCATTCAAATGACTACTCTTCTATGTTCAGAGTAAGAGAACTATGGAGACCTGTGAAGAATGTACAGACTTTCTGCTGAAGGACTGCACTGCATAAATATTTATTCTAGTCTTCGGAAATATGCTAATCCAAGGCAAGTAATGTTCTCTCTCTCAAAGACAAAAAAAAATCATAAAAAACAATTACGATTATTTAATTAGTAGTAGCAGATTTTAAAATGTGACAGATGAACATGCATCACAGTGCCATGTTATCATAACCCTGTAACAAAAGTCTCTGAACAGAATAGACAATTAAACCTAGATCATTTCCCCATGTCATGAAATACTTTGGGCTGGATCCAGATCCCAGGGAAGTCAATGGGGGCAAAAGCCAGCCTTTTCAAGTTCTGACTGAAAGCCCAGGCTTTAAATAAAACAGGAGTAGTTTGCATGCAAGTTTGTAGTTCTTGATGACACCAAACTAAATTTAAGTCCACAGTCCTTTTTTGAAATCGTATCCTCTTGATCAACTAAAAAAACTCATGAATTTAAATTTAAGCTGCAAAAAATTGCTTAAGCAAAATTTAATCTTGGTCTCCTTCACAGTTACCAAATATAGAGATTCAAATATATTTAATTTTTTGTTTTTATAGGAACCTATAAAATCCTTGGCAGCTCTTTCTCCCGTAAGCCTTTAGTAACTTTAGTCCAGGGAAAAAAGAAAAATCTGTATAAACTGAAAATGTTTGAACTGGAGTTTTTCCAAGAGTAATAACAAGTCTTTATCATTTCTTATTTCTTAAGTTTGGGAGGTAGGAGCGTGGGGAGTTGTGAGCACATACACCAAAAGACATGCACTGAATCTTTATAAAATATTAAATTAACAATAATGCAATCAAACAACAAGTGTTCCAGTTAACATTTTACTCTGTTGTGCCTTCTGATTTTACAGATTTATAAATATTTCATTTTAAATATATTTCTTTGAAAATAAAATTATATCCAATAAATCTAAACCTATGACCAAGAGCAGCAGCCCCATGCTCTGTTTATGCTGACTTGCTAGCATTCAGTACACACATGTTCCAACTCTGACTTTGACACTGATGTCTCTTGTAATCTTTGGTAAGGCTCTGCCTTTCTATAGCTCCCAGTTACCTTATCTGTAAGAATATAGAGAATTGTGTGTAAATAGTCTTTGAAAACTGCTTTGGAAATCTATTCTTAAACAAAATCTGAAAATAGAAAAGTCACTATTAAAAAGTGAGTATGCTTGATCCTTATGTGAGAAAAATCTTATTTTTTATCACAAAAAAATGATTCTTAGTAATAAAAAAAAGCATTTTAGTTGTTATCAAAGCACAGAAATGTTGTGCTTTAATAATGACAATTTGCAGGGTTTTAGATGGACACCAATTTTTTGAAGCACTCCGAAATGTTTTGCTGTTTAGCTTCAACAAATGCTTCTTGTCTTTTGCATTGCAGATCACAGGACTGAAGAAATCACACAAATGTTACATTTTCTGGATATGGGTGTTTTACATCCATCATCCATAGTGTACAGCACTCCAGAGGATGTTTCTAGCCCTCTATAAATAAGCTTGGATAGCCATGGTTCTCTGATTTACCAATTCTGCACCCCTCCCCGCTGTACACAGATAGCGGAATATGACTGGTGTTCTGCATGCTGTTTAACGAGAGATCCTTCCTTCCCCCTCCCATCTTTTTGTGAAATGTCCTTCTTCTTTGCAAACGGTAATAAACCAAACAGAGTAATGAATGGGCTCCAGTAGTCCGAAATACTACATTGTAAATTAACTCTTAACACCTTTAGCATCACTTATCAGCTATTAGAGCACAGCATTTCGTAGCTCTATCTATCTGAAGAAAACATTTACTCATACCACATTATTCCATGTAATATCCTGTAGTATTACACTGTAATACATGATAGTTTTAAAACAAATTTGTATATGGAAGTAGGGAAGTTGTCTCTTGTCCCTTAACAAGTGGGCTACTTCCATGCTTTTGGAGACTTTACAAGTAACTTGGAAAGCAACAGCAAATATTATTTCTGTTTACATGCACCGAGCTTTTGCTTCATGCATTTTCAAAGCAGTTATTCTGAGCACAGGATAGGCACCATTTTAACACCAAGATGGCTTTTGAACAAATTCAAGACCCCTTTAGACTTTGGCTATATCTTCATGCTAATAATCTATAGGTTATCTGTAGGGTTTTTTTAAGCAGCGGGAAGGAGAAGAGGGTGGAGGGCAGTCTGTGTTTCAGAAGCAGTGCATGTATGAGTAATAAGGCAGGAACGCTAACTTGAAGCTCTCTCTGCCTCTCATATTTTTCCTAATAAGCCTCTTCTTTCTGTCTCCGATTTTGTGCCAGCTCTCTGAAGAGACAGGTTATCTAAAAACTTATTTTCAAGTAGGTGAAATTTCATAGAGGTGCAAATTATTCTAAGGTGCTCATAATGGGCTTTTAAAATGTTTTAGATTTTTAGGGAAAATGTAGACCTGAAAAAACACACAGTATGCTCTCTTTTTAAAAGGAAGATAATCTTTCAGGGTCTTGCAGAAGAATATACACCCAAAGGTCAAAACTTCTGCATTATGACAACATGTCTCATTCTCTATTTATTTTTTCCACCCAAAAAAACTAACCTGAATTTTGAGATATTATATCACAATAATGCAAGCAGATTCAAGCTGTAGAAAAAACACTACAATTCTCTCAGTCCCACCTATTGTCCATGTGTGCTAATAAGGCTTCCTACACGTCAAAGCACAAGATGCCCGCTACAAGAGCGTACCGGGCCATAACATACTTCTGGCACAATTTGCCTTGCGGCTCTGACATGACCACAAGTAGTTTCAGTTACAGCCCTAAATGCTGCTCATGGACTGGCGACATTCATCACTGTAGTGAGACACACTAACAGTTTGGCCCGTCTCTCCCCCTCCCCCCCCACTCCACATATGAAGAGTTGCACTTCAACATGTTAAGAGTAGTGATACAACCAGGTTGTGAAATTAAAAAGTATCCAGTTGCATTTTGCTATACAGAAGATACAGAAGAAGATTTGTATCAGTGTGATTTCTAACTTTTTAAAGTTTTTTTAACTTTTTATTCTTACAAACCCATTTTTACTGGTACTTTTCAACTGATTTCTGGACTTGGGACTCTATTAGTATCTAACCTCTTAGTGTGTAATACAAGAACAGAGGGGAGGACTGTAAATAATCAGTTACGTGTCTGTGTGCACACAAACCCCTCTCTCAATAACACAGAAATACTGCAAAAGTTACCTTCCTCTTGCCACTAAAACATGCAATGCCACAGGCTCAGACATTACGCTCAATAATATGCGTTATAAAAGATGTAGCAAAATAAGCTCGTAACAGACCTTTCCAAATATGCTGACTACATTATAAATTCTTGAGAAGTGTGGTGCAAAATGTAACATAAGGAGAGTTGAACTAAAGCATTTGTTCTCATTCGTTAGTGAGGATACCCTGTATATATCACATTGTCATTCCTCAGTGAGAAGGTCATCCCATTCAGTCACCTCTCCCCAAGTAATATGAAAATACAGAAACGTGTGGGCACAATTATGGTGGCTATTTACTATGGGGCACAGACAGCATCTTTTACTTTACAGTACTTTACTCTTTACTCAAAGGTGTTACCAGAGTTCTAAGAAAGTCTAATAACTGCCGGTTAGCTGCGGTTAGCCAGACACATACAGGGATCCCACAGGACTGCAGGAAGTGGGAACAGTATCAAAGGGCGCTAAATGACACACCAAAAAAAAAAAAAAAGAAGAAGAAGAAAAAGAAAAAACAAATAACCAGACTTCCCGTTGTTCAGAGCCATCAGGGGCAAGGCAAAGACCGGGCAGGACCGCTCAAGTGAGAAAGAAAATGCTCAGAATAGTGAATCATATTGTTACGGATTGCATTGACACACACACACACACACACATTTCTGTCACATTACTGTCTTTGAAACAGACGGGAGAACAGGCAGATCGGGATGCTGACTCACATCTGTAGGGAATACCGCGTGGCGTTTTACCTCGAGGGCTTTGTGCATCTCACGCACTAATCACGTAAGTGAAGTTAAGCACAACTCAAGACCTCACAATTTCACCTCAAGGGGTGGGGGGAGGGGGAGGAACAGAAAACTACTTAGTTCCTTTGCTCTCTCCAAAAAAAGAAAACAATTCCGCAAGCCACAGCAATACGAGCCAATACGCACCCGCGACGTGCTGGCAAAACCCAAGTGCCCATTTAAAAAAGGACGAAGAAGACGAAGAAGCGGAGAGAAGCGGCTGTTCCCAGTGACAGACACTCCAGCGCCTCGCGTATCGCCCTCCCACGGCTGACTTCGACAAGTTCTACTTTCGCTTCCCCGCTGGGAAACCTCAGCGCCAGGCACCGTCGCCACCCGGGCCA